ATTCACCGGAAGCTCATGGCACGTGAACTAATACAGCCCTAAATACGAATTTATGAATCACTAAATCTAAACAAAATCACCCATCTCTATGAGAAGCTTTGGAGATCTGTCCTCAATGCTTCTCTATAAGAAACATTTGATCAGACAACCTTCAACACTACAATAAAGGGCTGGTCAATAAAGGGGTGCATCTTCATCGGCTGCTGAGACCAGTACTGCAGCTAATAAAAGGTAAGTTTTTAGGACTTACACAAATATTTGTGTACGTTTTAGTAAATGCATATTTTTTTGCAATGATTAAAGGGGCAGGAATACAAACGTGTGTTCCTGAACCTATGGTGCTAAAAATACTATTTAGGTGGGAAAGCATTGGATTGTCAATTTTGAAAATCTCAGTCAAGGAGGCAGGGCAGGTGCAGGGGCAGGAGCCCGAGCCAAATGCAGCACCGGTCAATCAGCATCTCCTCGTTGAATCAATGCATCTCTAAATGGCAAGTTCAGCGTCTTGTGCAGCACTGACCTTGGAAACATCTCTAGTGGCCGTCTGAGTGACTGGCACTAGAGGTGTTCCTAGGCTGCAATGTAAACACTGCCTTTTCTCTGAAAAGGCAGTGTTTACATTAAAAAACCTTCAGGAACAATATATAGAAACCAGAACAACTACATTAAGCTGTAGATGTTCTAGTGACTATAGTGTCCCTTTAACTGTAACCTTCATTACAATTGAGCCGATAACATTTATTGGCAACTTATCAGCTCCCATAAGCCTTTTATCAGTTTGAATAAATGTAAAAAAATGTTGCCACCTGGATTTAACTAAGAAAATAGGTAAGAGCCTCCTATTGTATAGTTACTGAATGGACGATTATCTTTCAACTGGCAACAAGTTACTTAACCCCAAATGATGCAATGAGTAGCTTCTCATGGTCGTGAAAAAGATGTTAGTTTGTTTTAAAGGATCAAATCATTGACATGCATTAAGCAGAGAAAACATGTAAGGAGATTACAGAAACTACAAAAATTGGGTTAAGAACTGTCCAACGCATTATTAAAAAACTGGAAGGATAGTGGGGAACCACCAGTGATGGGCGCATCAGGGTAAGAAGAGCGGTAGATGAAGTGATGCACCCATCATGCCTAGTGCCTACTGTACAAGCCTGTGGGGACAGTGCTATGATCTTGGGTTGCTGCAGTTGGTCAGGTTCAGGTTCAGCAACATTATGTGCCCAAAGAATGAGGTTAGCTGACTACCTGAATCTACTGAATGACCAGGTTATTCCATCAATGGATTTTTTCTTCCCTGATGGCACAGGCATATTCCAAGATGACAATGCCAGGATTCATCAGCTCCAAACTGGTGGATTGGCCACCACAGAGTCCAGACCTTAACCCCATTGAGAATCTCTGGGATGTGCTAGAGAAGGCTTTGCACAGTGGTCCAACTCTCCCATCATTAATACTAGATCTTGGTGAAAAATGAATGCACCACTGGACTGAAATAAATCTTGTGACATTGCAGAAGCTTATAGAAACAATGCCACAGGGAATGCAAGCCGTAATCAAAGCTAAAGGTGGACAAAATAAATATTAAAGTGTGTGACCTTTTTTGTGGTGGCAACTTTTTTTTTGGCCAGGTAGTGTATATACATGCTTTTCTGTCAGTAATCATATGAAAGGATTAGAGAAAAGCAGATGTGGTGACTACATTTAAAAAGGTGTTATTAATACAACCTGAGAATACAATCTACCGAGTGTACGAAAACGCTTCTGGTTTTAGGCCTGTTTGGATTTTAGCGCATGGGGACTGGGTGATGTCATGTATGTCAGTGAGCTCTCTTACTCAGTAAACGGGAGAACGATCAGTAACCTCTTTCATTACGCACATTGTCTCAAATTCGTTGTCTGTTTGCTTACTCCCTGGCACTATGTTCAGATTGCTGTGGACCTGCGAGTCCCAAAGGGCTGTCCTGTATTGTTACTGTCTTATTATGCTCCTTTTCAATAAAAATCTACATTTAATATTTAATCATTTATTTTGAACATCAACATTAGTAGGAAGCAACATGATTTTGTGAAAGAAAGGTCATGACAAACTAACTTAATTGTGTCCTATGAAGAAATTAGTAGAAATATAGATAGGGATGTTCCTGTGGATTTTATTAACAGACACAGAG